GTGTGCGCCATCTAACAGATTCCGGCCATTTTCGGCATGAGGCCGGAATCTGTAAATGATTACTGGGGTGTTTTGTATTTTAAACAAAAATTTAGGGGTATAATAAATATCAAATTAAGGGTTTAAAAAGTTAAATATATTGGAGTAGTATTCCCAAAATCAAGTTTTGGTATTTTACTGTTAAATTTTGGGAATACTAAAATAGTATCCCAAAACTGAACAAACACGCCCAGTTTTGGATTTTACTGTTTAATGGTTTTGTTTGTTTTTTTGGGGTTTTTTTTGGGGGGGTGTTTATTTTGGTGTTTTGGGGTTTTTTTTGGGTCGTTTTTTTTTTTTTTTGGGGGTTTCCCTGGGGGGGTTTTTTTTTGGGAATACTAAAAGTAGTATTCCCAATTGGCAACACAAACGGAGCCGTTATGTTTCTCATTCATATCCTAGGCCTTTTTATAAACATATCAGAGCAGAATTTTTCTCTTATCAGAAGTCAATAAATGACTAATACTTGTGATTAAAAAAACTATAAATTTAGTCGTTTTTTAAAATCTTATTGTTAAAAATGTATTCAAAATTGTTCTCCAAAACATTTCAACATATTATCTTTTTACAAGGTTTTTTATACTTTCATTTTTGAAAAAGAAAAAAAAAGAAAAGGTTGTATTTAAATTCGTAAAAAAAATGCTCCAAACTAATACAAAGTCAATTTATATCAGATTCTTAATATATCTAATTTTCGAATTTATATATAATTCTGTGCTGATGTTGATTGTCATCCATAATAATTTGGACCTGCACATATCAAGAAGCTTTAATTCTATGAAGTGTTAAGTATAAAGGATACCTTTGAGAGATGTATTACATAATGGGTCAATGAGATACTCATTATACTTATAATAATCTTTTATCTTATTGCAAATCATAGAATACAATCAAAAATAAGAAATTTCTGAAATAAAACAAAAAAAACATAAAATATTAAGGAACTTGTTGAAGTCCATGTTCTGAAGTGAAGAAAGTCTTCAAAAAGAATGAAGAAATTAGTAACCACTTGACTTCTCCTCTGCTTTTGCTGTAAGCTGGTTTGGGAGCGTAGGCATTGTCTTTGGGTTGTGGCTTGTAAGCTTTTGATTTGGGAGCATAGGTGTTGTCTTTAGGTTGGGGCTGGGAGTGTAGATTTGTCTTTGGGTTGTGGCTTGTAAGATTCTGGCTTGGGAGCATAGGTGTGTCTTTGGGTTGTGGCTTGTAAGATTCTGGCTTGGGAGCATATCCGTTTTCTTTGGGGTTGTGGCTTGTAAGCTTCCGGCTTAGGAGCGTATCCGTTATCTTTGGGTTGTGGCTTATAAGCTTCTGGCTTAGGAGTGTATACGTTGTCTTCAGGTTGTGGCTTGTAAGCTTCTGGCTTCGGTGCGTATGTGTTGTCTTTGGGTGTGGCTTGTAAGATTCTGGCTTGGGAGCGTATGCGTTGTCTTTGGGTGGCTTATAAGATTCTGGCTTGGGAGCGTATCCGTTGTCTTGGGTTGTGGCTTATAAGATTCTGGTTTGGAGCGTATCCGTTGTCTTTGGGTGTGGCTTGTAAGCTTTTGGCTTGGGGCATATCCATTGTCTTGGATTGTGACTTGTAAGCTTCAGGCGTAGCGGCATATTTGTTATCTTTGGGTTGCGGCTTGTAAGCTTCTGGCTTGGAGCATACGCGTAGTCTTTGGGTTGTGACTTAAAGCTTTGCTTGGGAGCATGTCCGTTGGCTTTGGGTGTGGCTTGTAAGCTTCTGGCTTAGGAGTATATCTGTTGTCTTTAGATTTGGATTCGTAGTTATATTCTTGAGACTTTGGCTTGTCACCTCCGTGTTGCCGCCATAGCCATAATCACTTGCAGAGGCAAGGATCAGCATTGAGAAGAGAATCAAGAGCTAGTGGAAGAAAAACAGGTGAAACCCCATGACTCTGAAAATCTATTTTAAGAAGAAAGATAAAGTATTTGATTTTTGAATTGATATGAGAAGTAACACCATGGTCTTTTATAGAGACATTAATGGCTGACTTTGTCTTATCAATTAATTATGAACTATAATATAAAAAAGGAAGACAATTACTTGGATGCACGTTTTGAAGAAGAAGCGCTAATATTATCTCCATTGCACTAAAATGAACGTGAATACCTTGCCTGCCGTCCATGGAAAATGCTTATAATATCTCCAAATTTACACCCCCAGTACAACTGGTCGTCGTGGTGCCTATTAACCCACTTCCTGCTTTCTCATTATCTCTATGTTTTCATGATGAAAATGTTTTCTATGCATTTTGTTAGTATTCAATCTATTAATGTAAATATGTCACATCAGCATAATCGCAATATATTTATCCAATTATTAGTAATTACTTGTATTACTATAAAATTTTGTTTCCTATACGTAACTGGACCATCATTGACTAATCCTATTGTTAGTGATGTATAAGTACCGAAGTAAGTATTACTTGTTTTTTTAGGTATCTGAGGTATCCATGCTCACATTAGAGTCTGCCTAATCTTCAGAGTCACGAAATACCTTACAAGCTTAATAGATTAAGGTAATTACACAAATTTAATATGTACCTCTTCTGCGACTCGAACATAAGACTCCGGGTACAATTAACCCCAGTAACTAATGATTTTGTCATCCTATCACAAAGGAGGAGATAGTTCAAATTTGTTAACATGTATGGGGTATATTTAAAAATAATTTTTTTAATTAAATCATCATTTTTTTTTAACATGTTCAAGGCAATCAAAACAAATAACATTCATTTTAAAGTTTGTATATGAGTTTTCGAATAGGTGTTACAACTTTCACTTGTAAGATTTCACCACTATCACAAAGAAGACTCATTATTTTGATGGAACACAAAATGGATACCAATATAAAATCTAATCTACAATTCTGATTGCCTGTTTGTTAATCTCATTAATTTTTCAATATCTATTATTTTTTTCTATATGTTTAGGTCCTTTTTTTTTTTGGTAGGGCCTTTGTTTCTTTGTATACCCTGTGAGATGTCTGATTCTTTTTGCTCCTGCTCCTTAGGGCGTGTCCTTAAGGGGCTGGTTGTGGGGTTTTTGTTCCCTCTATGTAAGCTTCTCAATCTCTCTCTCTCTCTCTCTCTCCAAAAAAAAATAATGTGGATGATTTGACCTTTACAGTTCAAAGGTGTTATTGAGGATAAAAAATTATGTAAGGTTGCGTTTGGTTCGGGGTAATATAAGATTAATCATGTAATCTTTATTTAATTTTCAAGATTCTCTTGCTTGGTTGTTAAGTAATAAAATATTTTGTAATCTTTTATTATAAATAGTGTTTACTGTTGGTAAGATTAGGGGTAATCAAATTACCTTCCCAAGGGATGTTAATATAAGATTAACAAGGTAATCTTAATTTTAACCCTATTTTGCCATTAACCTTTTATCATTTTGGACACATTTGCCCTCATATGTCTACTAAATAACAATTACCCAGACTCCTTACATTTGAGAATTTAGTTAAAATACCTTAGTCACAAAAGTTTAAAAGTTAACAAAATACCCCTAACCACCCAAGACCACCGCCGGTCGCTAGCCACCACTGCTAGTCGCTTGTGAAAGTCGTCATATCGACACAAGACTGGTGGGATCTTGTCGGTCCTGTGCCGATAAGGATGTTTTCGATCATGAATTTGTGATCCATGGTCGAAAATGACTAGATTTGGCCGTTTCACGGCTAAAGATGTGGCCATGAAACGCCATAGATCTGTCCGTGAAAAAACCAGATCTTTGGCCGTGAAAGGGCCGCCGTTTCACGGCCATATTCACGTATATATGTCGCCGTTTTTTTCCATGGATCTTTGGCCTTACGGCAGTTGCTAGCAGAGGTGGCTGGCTACCAATAATGGCTTAGGGTGGGTGGGGGTGATTTTTCTATAAATTAAAGTTTTATATGATTGGGTTATTTTAGCAAAATTTCAAATATAAGGGGGTTAAAAAATAATTTAAAAAATAATAGAATAAAATAATATTATATTATTATTTAAAAAGGAAGGTAATTTAGTAATCTATATAATATATCCACTCATTTATCCTCCTAATCAAACATATTATTATAATATACCCACCAATTTATTCTAACCAACCAAACACATTTCTCTAAAGATTTCCTGATAATCTATCTTTCCAGTAATATAACATTTCTTAATAATATAACATTCTTTGAACCAAACGCACCTTAAATGTCTTATAATAATAAATGTTGGTTTTAAACTCGATATGACTTATTATTCTGGCTTTATGTAAAGGAATTGTTTAAAGGATTATTACAACACCTACCCTAAGGTTTCAGGTTCTGTCAATTACACCCCACATGTATAAATAATCCTCACAACCTCCCCTCACATTTGTTAAAATCGTTACTAATCTCCCTTACCCTCCATTTTAATGAACCATTACTGATTAAGGGTACATGCGTCATTTTCTTATATCTTTCATTTTCGAAAAAGAAAAGGTTGTATTTAAATTTTATATAAAAAAATGCTCCAAACTTTTTCAAATTTTAAGTGTTATTATTATACTTAGGAAACTTAAAACAAAGTTCAATTTTATTATCAGATTCTAATTTTCGAATTTTATATATAATCCTTTGCTGACTGTTTAACAAACTGATTGAGCTACAAACAAAGGTTGATCAAGTGAATTATGTTTCAATATTTTAGGCAATGAGATTTTTAAGGGATATCATACACAATAATTTGGACCTTCACATATCAAGAAGCTTTAATTCTCATGAAGTGTTGAATATAAAGGATACCTTTAAGAGATTGTATTACATAATGGATCAATGAGATACTCATTATACTTATAATAATCTTTTATCTTTTTGCAAAACATAGAATACAATCAAAAATAAGAAATTTCTGAAATAAAAAAATAAAAAACATGAAATATTCAGTAACATGTTGAAGTTCTGAAGTGAAGAAAGTCTTCAACAAGAATGAAGAAATTTAGTATCCATTTGACTTCTCCTCTATTTTTGACTTCGATTTATCACCGTCCAAATTTGAGTTATAACCATGATATTCCGCTGATTTTGATTTGAAAACATCTAACTTACGACCATAAGTATTACCTTCTGACTTGGGAGCATAGTCGTTATATTTGGGTTGTGGCTTGTAAGCTTCTGGCTTAGGAGCGTAGGCATTGTCTTTGGGTTGTGGCTTGTAAGCTTCTGGCTTAGGAGCGTATCCATTGTCTTTGGATTGTTGCTTGTAAGATTCTGACTTGGGAGCGTAAGTGTTGTCTTTAGGTTGTGGCTTGGGAGTGTAGCTAATGTCTTTGGGTTGTGGCTTGTAAGATTCTGGCTTGGGAGCATACGTTTTGTCTTTAGGTTGTGGCTTGCGAGCGTATCCGTTGTCTTTGGGTTGTGGCTTGGGAGCTTCTGGCTTGGGAGCATATCTGTTATATTTGGGTTGTGGCTTATAAGCTTTTGGCTTAGGAGCATATACATTGTCTTTAGGTTGTGGCTTGTAACCTTCTATCTTGGAAGCATATGCATTGTCTTTGGGTTGTGGTTTGTCAGATTCTGGCTTGGGAGCATATGCGTTGTCTTTGGGTTGTGGCTTATAAGCTTTTGGCTTGGGAGCGTATGTGTTGTCTTTGGGTTGTGGCTTGTAAGCTTCTGGCTTGGGAGCATTTTCGTTGTCTTTAGGTTGTGGTTTGTAAGCTTCTGGCTTGGGAGCATATCCATTGTCTTTGGATTGTGGCTTGTAAGCTTTAGGCTTAGAAGCATATATGCTATCTTTGGGTTGTGGCTTGTAAGCTCCTGGCTTGGTAGCGTGTCCGTTGTCTTTGGGTTGTGGCTTGTAAGCTTTTGGCTTGGGAGCATATCCATTGTCTTTGGATTGTGACTTGTAAGCTTTAGGCGTAGGGGCATATTTGTTATCTTTGGGTTGCGACTTGTAAACTTCTGGCTTAGGAGCATATGCGTAGTCTTTGGGTTGTGACTTATAAGCTTCTTGCTTGGGAGCATATCCGTTGTCTTTGGGTTGTGGCTTGTAAGCTTCTGGCTTAGGAGTATATCTGTTGTCTTCAGATTTGGATTCGTAGTTATATTCTTGAGACTTTGGCTTGTCACCCTCAGTGTTGCCGCCATAGCCATAATCACTTGCAGAGGCAAGGATCAGCATTGAGAAGAGAATCAAAAAGCTAGTGAAGAAGAAACCCGTGAGCCCCATGACTCTGAAAATCTATTTTAGGAAGAAAGATAAAGTATTTGATTTTTGAATTGATATGAGAAGTAACACCATGGTCTTTTATAGAGACATTAATGGCTGACTTTGTCTTATCAATTAATTATGAACTATAATATAAAAAAGGAAGACAATTACTTGGATGCACGTTTTGAAGAAGAAGCGCTAATATTATCTCCATTGCCCTAAAATGAGCGTGAATACCTTGCCTGCCGTCCATGGAAAATGCTTATGGGTGTTTATTAAATTAGCGCACTTTGGGGGTTTTTTCATAAATTTTTAAATTTTATCTCGTAATACTTTCCTATTCAACTATTCAATACTATCCCCAAAATCCTACTCAAAATAGTAAACCAAACGCAGCTACAATTATCTCCAAATTTACACCCCCATTACAACTGGTCGTCGTGGTGCCTATTAACCCACTTCCTGCTTTCTCATTATCTCTATGTTTTCATGATGAAAAAGTTTTCTAGTCTAATGCACAATTCTGATTGCCTGTTTGTTAATCTTAAATTTTTCAGTATCTACTATTTTTTTTTTTTTTTCTATATGTAGAAAATTTGAAAAAAGTTTTCAAGAGAGAGAATTATATGGGCCTGTTTGGTAGATTATTTGAAAAATATTATTTTGAAAAACTATTTTAAGTTGAGTTAAATTAGATTAAATCGAATTGGATCATATTCTGAAAATGTGTTTGGTAAAATATTTGAAAAATATATTCAGAGTATGATAAAATGTTGAATAGTTGTTTAGTACATTTTCTAAAAATATTTTAGATTCTATTTTTAACCGCTTATATTTGTTAATTTAGCTAAACACCTCCCACGATAAAAGCTTAAAAATTAACTAGAGCACCCAGTCACCCAAGAGGACAATCGGTCATCGACCACCACTATCGGACGATAGCCGACAGTCGTCAGAACCGCACACAACCAGCTGGATCTAGCCGATCGTGCATCAATATGGCCATTTTCGGCTAGATCTACGACCAGAATTTGGTTGTCAATGACTAGATCTCGGGTCGTAGCTTTGGCCATTTCTGACCAGATTCATAGTGGATATAGTCAGGAACGGCAAGATCGGCGCACGACAGCCGATGGCGGTAGGGGTGTTGGCTAACGGTGGTGGTCTTGAGTGAATTAATTTTCAGATTGGAAGGAATAAAAGATAATTGTTTTTAGTTGAATAGAGTTGGGAAAATATTTTGAGTGGAATAAAATAGGATAATAGAAAATAAGTCTCATCCACTTTTTATTTTAAGACAAAAAATCTTATTTGAGTTAGATTAATTTTCTGAATAAATTAACCCAATAAGTAATGAAACATATATAATGTTTTTTAATCCAAATAAGATAACAGAATAATGATTCAAAATAATGTAAGGAACAAATGCTAAACTTCCTCAAGCTTTTAAGTGAAAGTATCGTATGAATTAATGAATATATACTTGGAACCAAAATAAGGTTGATTTTATTTCTAAAGATGTTTCAGGATAGTTTGTCCACAAATTTATGCACTAAAATAATCTCTCAATCTCTTTCTTTTTCTTTGGGAAACCCGATAATTGTATAAAAATAAAATAAAATAATTACAACCTATGAAGGAGGAGCCCTTCCTTCAAAAGAACCTTGGACAGGCCCAAGAAAGCAAACAAATGCCAGAAATTAAAGGATAACAAAATCCTTTAGAAGCTATACAAAATCAAGGAAAGCAGAAAACGCAACATATGATTTGAAGCCATCAACACTTTGCGTATATTCATGGCCTACTGATTTGGATTTGTAATGTTCCCTTTCTTCCTACTTCAATTTATCATATTCTGATTTTGAGTCAAAACAATGATATTCTACTGGTTTTGAATCTGATCTGAAAACGTCTACCTTACGACAATAGCCATTATCTGGCTTGGAACAAGAAACAATATCCTCATATTTTGGCTTTTCGACGTATGATTTGTAACCATAACTCATTTTTCTGTATGATCATGATCTACTGATTTCCAGTACTGATCTACCTTGTCTGATTTTTCTTTTAACTTTTAGATTTTTTAGCATCTAAATCAGAAGTATACTTATGATCCTCCAACTTCGACTTGAATTTAGAAGTATAACTATAACCCGTCTTGAATTTGTCTTAAGAATTCATGACTTAAGTTAATTGTCACAATAGTTTGATTTCTTTTTTATCTGTGAAAATATGTTTAGGCATGAAATTCATGCAATAAATAGAATTAGTCGTTTTACCCCCAAATATTTATAAAGTAGCATTTACTCAAAGTTAGACTTGACCTTTGTAGTTAAGGTTTTGTTGGCATTACAGTATGAGGTACATGTCTCTCAATAATCTCATGTCATGAATATTTGAATATAATGAATAAATATGAAAGATTATATTACAAAATGGCTCAATTAGATCTTTATTAAACACATCATAATCTTTCACTTATTGCAAATAAAAGAATACAATCAACAACAACAAATTTGTGATTTGAAAAAAATAAAAAAATACAAAGGAAAAACATTAAATTGTCAGCAACATGTTGAACTCGATCGATATTCTTGAAGTGAAGCAAAAAGTCTTCAGTAAGAATGAATAAATTTAGTAACCATTTGACTTTTCTTTCTCCTGTGGCTTTGATTTATCACAGTCTGATTTTGAGTTATAACCGTGATTTTCTACTGATTTTGATTTAAAAACATCTAACTTACGGTTGTAGACAATACCTTCTGGCTTGGGATAATAGCCGTTATCTTTGGGTGGCTGCTTATAAGCTTCGGGCTTCGTTGCATAGCTATTATCCTTTGGTTGTGACTTGTCATCTTCTAGCTTGGAAGCATAGCTATAATCTTTGGGTTGTGGCTTATAAGCTTCTGGCTTGGGAGCGTATGCGTTGTCTTTGGGTTGTGGCTTGTAAGATTCTGGCATGGGAGCATATCTGCTATCTTTGGGTTGTGGCTTGTACGCTTCAGGCTTGGGACCATATACATTGTCTTTGGGTTGTGGCTTGTAATCTTCTTGCTTGGGAGCGTATCCGTTGTCTTTGGGTTGTGGCTTGTAAACTTCTGGCTTGGGAGCGCGTCCGTTGTCTTTGGGTTGTGGCTTGTACGCTTCTGGCTTGGGAGCGTATGCCTTTTCTTTGGGTTCTGGCTTGTAAGCTTCTGGTGTAGGAGCGTATCCATTATGTTTGGGTTGAGGCTTGTAATCTTCTGACTTGGGAGCGTAATGGTTATCTTTTTGCTGTGACTTGTAAACTTCTGGCTTAGGAACGTATTCATTAACCACAGATTTTGACTTATCGATGTATGATTTGTAGTCATAACCTTTTTCTGTGTGATCATGAATTACAGACTTCGAGTACTGATCCACCTTGTCTGATTTTTCAACGTCTAGATCGGAAGTATACTTATGATCCTCCAACTTAGACTTCTCATTATCGAATGATTTAGAAGTATAACTATAACCCATCGTGAATTTGTCTTCAGATTTGGGTTCATAGTTATATTTCTGAGACTTTGGCTTGTCACCCTCAGTGTTTCCGCCATAGCCATAATCACTTGCAGAGGCAAGAATCAGCAATGAGAAGAGAACCAAAGAGGTTGTGAAGAAGAAACCGGTGAGCCCCATGACTCTGAAAATCTATTTTAAGAAGAAAGGAAGTTAATGGATTTGTGAATTGATCTGAGATGTATCACCTTCTCTTTTATAGACATGAATAAACAAGACAAAATAAACTCGGCTGCACGATTTGATTGAACAGAATCTGAAAGCTCCATGAACGTGAATGCCATGGAGATGTTTGCGTGGTGCCCATAAACCCATTTCTGGGTTTTGATTATTATAATTTTATATAAAAAATTATACATTTATAGCCATATTATATCTTCCAAATTATATATTTTTTGTGATTTCGACACGTTGGGTGGTTAAGGCCGACGAAATAAATAGTACGGTGTATTTAGTTTGTTGTACCAGATTGAATTAATTTTTAGAATCGGATGGTTTTGGAGAATATATTATAATATTATATTACTGGATGGTGTAGTTTTGTATTAAATACAATAATATTGTAGAAGGATAAGTTTAGTTTTTTTCTTTTAACTAAATTGATCATTTTAATAAATAAAATTAAAATTAGATATATAATACAGTATAATGTTTTATACTTTTATTATTTATTATCTATTTTATTAATAACTTAAACTTTTCACAGTTTATTTATTTTAGGAATTTATTAATTATGCAATCTGTTTGGAGTAACGAGTGTCATTTTTATAATTAATTGTTTGTTATAATTTTATTAAATGTTAACATATACATATGGAACATAAACTTTTCAATTTGATTAACATTTCAATTTTACACCATATATAATTAATGAAGATGCAAAAAATCTATGGTTACGGAAATAGAGTCTGATCCCGTAAGGTTGAGGCCACTGACAATCCGTTAGACCTGCACACATGAAGAGACAAGCGTAAAACTTACGGAAACACTGGGGTGGTGTTTGTCGTAAACACTCCGACGCTCAAGTCAATAAGGCTGAAAGAGGATATTGAACAAAAGTTAAAGGGAAAGCAAGATTATCAAGAGTCTTGTCGGAGGCCAGGATTATGGCGAAGGCGTTAAGTCCTCGAGAGCAAGAACTTAGGAGCAAGTAGGTGGTTTTGACTAGTGGAAATTGAATGAATTATAAGAGGGCAAGCCTGTATTTATATAGTGAATCCAAGGAGTTAGAATCCTAGTAGGACACTGAGTCCTATTTTAGGAGATAATCCCTCAAGAAAGAAAGATGATTTCTTGTCCTTATTAGATTAGGTTTACTAGTTTCAGTAAGATTCAAGATCTTAACAAAATAGGAAATAGAATGGAATTCTGATTTCCTATTTATGGACTGTTGTAGGCTAATGGGCAGAACTCAGTTTTAGTTTAACTTATAGGATGGTCTAACTTATAGAGTATGTAGTTCATAAGATGACTTTAAGCGTAAGCCCAACTGAAGTTGGGTTAAGACTTTGAGCCGTGATATGTTTATTTCGTTATTGGGTCTCATTAGGCCTAAGATTATTTTTTGCCCATACAATTAACAATGTTACATAATACCTTTGCTGATCTGGATTTTAATATATAGATATATATATAATATATATATCTATATATATATATATATATTATATATAAATGCTCATAGTTAAGAAGGGCGCTATTAGGCATTAAAGTTTGAGGTACATGTATGTCAATAATAAATGTTGGTTTAAACTCGATACGGCGATTATTTTGACCATAGTAGATATTTTAGTATCCTGTAAAAGAACTGAATGATTATATTACAAGATTACAGCCGTAAAACCATATGTCAAGAATGTTGCAACTTTCATTAAGAAAATTTAATTCTCATGTCATGAACACTTGAATATAAGAGATAAATTTAAAAGATTATATTACAGAATTACTCAAAGAAATCTTCGTTACACACATCATAATCTTTCTTTTACTGAAATAAAAGAATACATCAACAACAACAAATTTGTGATTTGTAAAAAATAAAAAAATATTAATTTTCAGCAACATGTCGAACTCGATCGATATTCTTAAACTGAAGCAGAAAGTCTTCAGTAAGAATGAATACATTTAGTAACCATTTGACTTTTCTTTCTCTTCTGCCTTTGATTTATCACAGTCTGATTTTGAGTTATAACTGTGATTTTCTATTGATTTTGATTTAAAAACATCTAACTTACGGTTGTAAACAATACCTTCTGGCTTGGGATAATAGCCGTTATCTTTGGGTTGCGGCTTGCAAGCTTCAGGATTGGGTGCATAGCTAATGTCCTTTGGTTGTGACTTGTCATCTTCTAGCTTGGAAGCGTAGCTATAATCTTTGGGTTGTGGCTTGTAAGCTTCTGGCTTGGGAGCGTATGCGTTCTCCTTGTGTTGTGGCTTGTAAGATTCTGGCTTGGGAGCGTATCCGTTGTCTTTGGGTTGTGGCTGGTAAGCTTCAGGCTTGGGAGTGTATCCGTTGTCTTTGGATTGTGGCTTGTACGCTTCTGGCTTGGGAGCATATGCGTTGTCTTTGGGTTGTGGCTTATAAGCTTCTGGTGTAGGAGTGTATCCATTATCTTTGGGTTGAGGCTTGTAAGCTTCTGACTTGGGAGCGTAATGGTTATCGTTTTGCTGTGACTTGTGAACTTCTGGCTTAGGAACGTATTCATTAACCACAGATTTTGACTTATCGATGTATGATTTGTAGTCATGACCATTTTCTGTGTGATCATGAATTACAGACTTCGAGTACTGATCCACCTTGTCTGATTTTTCAACGTCTAGATCGGAAGTATACTTATGATCCTCCAACTTAGACTTCTCGTTATCGAATGATTTAGAGGTATAACTATAACCCATCTTGAATTTGTCTTCAGATTTGGATTCATAGTTATATTCCTGAGACTTTGGCTTGTCACCGCCAGCGTTGCCGCCATAGCCATAATCATTTGCAGAGGCAAGGATCAGCAATGAGAAGAGAACCAAAGAGGTTGTGAAGAAGAAACCGGCGAGCCCCATGACTCTTAAAATCTATTTTATGAAGAAAGGAAAAGAATGGATTTGTGAGTTGCTCTGAGATGTATCACCATCTCCTTTTATAGACATGAATAAACAAGACAAAATAAACTCGGCTGCACGATTTTACTGAACAGATTCTGAAATCTCCATGAACGTGAATGCCTTGCTTTCCTGCGATAGTGATGGCTTGCAATTGTGTCTACGTGGTGCCCATAAACCCGTTTCTGGGTTTGGATCATAATATTTAATTATTTATTTTATATAAGAAAATATACATTTTTTTTATATATATATATATTTATGTGATTTCAACACTTTTCGGAAATATTTTGATGCTGGGCTATTAGTTTCAAAATTTAGTCTAAACCCATCTTTGGATAATAAATGGAAGAATGTGATTGGGACAAGTAATCACACATTGATAGTTTTTTTAATTTAAAATTTCTTAGATTAGTTTATATTTAAATTTAATTCTATTATATAAAATTAAAAATAATATACTAAATAATTGTAAACATTTTATTCTTATTTCAAAAAATTATCTAAAAATACTAAATTCATAATTAAAATTAATTTTTAACTCATTTAGATTTATCACAATTAATTATCTAAATATCATAAGTATTAATTTAATTTATCTAGTCCCATGTTTTACCATACGTATATAACATAATATGTAGTTTAGTTTGGACCCGTGTTTTAAAACCTAACCTGTCCTGGCCGATTGAACCAGGACCTAGGGCCTTCACCAGGTCAGGTTACAATTCCTATTCATTAACCTTAGAAATTAAGACATTAATCCGTGAATAATTGAAGGCTTGAATGTCAGGGCTCTTGAAAAGGAATGGTCGATGAGTGCAATGGCGATGACGATAGTTATTTTCGGTGAGTGAATCGACCAGAAATCACAAAACTATGTCGTTGGAAAAAGTCTACTGTTGTTGGCAATTGGGGAGGTGAACGGTAGAGGGGTGAAATGAGTTTTGGTCAAGAGGCAGAGGAGAGCGTTTTCGTGGTGATGGGGAGTGTTATTGTCGCTAGAAACATATGCCCTATTTGTCGACACCAACGGTTGTGTTTGAGATGTTTTTGCAAGATTTTAAACTTATAGGGACTTACATGTAATTTTTAGGGTTTTTTTTTTTTTTTTTTTTGGGTTAGATTTCAAACTTTTGGAACCGGTTAAATTGGTCAACCCAAGACCTTACCACTTTGTCATGTTTCATCCCGGGTTGGGTTTTAAAACACTGGTCTGGACTACATATGTAATACAATCAATGCAATTCTTAAAAATAAGCGTTATCCAGTCCAATCTTGACTCTAAGGGTGCGTTTGGTTAGGGGTAATCCCTCATTACTCTAATAATGTCATCATATATTACTATCACTATCATATTTGGTTGTCAAGTAATAAAATATTTCAATAATACTCCAATACTAATAATAATCTTTGTAGAATATATAGAGGGTAACTGAATACCATCATTTCTTAGGTATTCTAAGATTACTTGGTTTTATTAATTTTGTCACAATTTTACACCTAATTAATAATAATATTATTAATAACATTATTATTATATTATATATATTATATTAATAATTATTATATTATATTAATAATTATAATATTATAATAATCATATTAAAAAGAAAGGTAATTCAGCAAAAGACTTTTCTCAGGATTCTTTTATTCTTCCTCACCAAACATACTAATTATATATACCCATCAATTTATTTTAATCTAACCAAACATATTTAATATAACATTTTCAATAGAAAAAGTTTGTGAGAGAGAGTTGTTGGTATAGTATTACTCTTCTCGGTAATCTTCAAGATACTCTATACAATTAGATTTTGAAGGGATCTTGATTATTTTGACCTTCCTTTGATAATAGCTTTTTTATTTATTTTGTTACCAAGATGTTTGGGCCAGCTTACACAAACTTTGACTAATCCTTAGGAGAATTAGATTAGCAACCAACCGCCACAGCTCCCACTTAAATCTTGAGAGCTAAAGGGATTCAAACCTGAGACTGTGCGCCCACACATCCAAGCACTCCTTCTACCACTTTAGCTATCCAAGGATAGGTGTGAAAATATGTTTATTAGGCTATTACATATATAATTTGGCCACCACATTCATGCACTAAAATAATCACTAAGAAAGGATGGGTGTTATTGGTATTACAATATGAGGTACATGACTGCCAATAACAAATGTTGGTTTAGATCAATACGGCGATTATTTTGGCCATAACATTATTTAGCATCGTGTAAAAGAACTGTTGATTGTTTTAAATTAAAGATTGCAGCCATAAAACTATGTCAGGAATGCTGCAACTTTCAATGAGAAAATTTAACTTTCACATATCATGAAACATTAATTCTCATGTCATGAACTGTGGAATAGAGATAAACTTGAAAGATGATATTACAAAAGAGATCTTCGTTACATCATAATCTTTCTCTTTTTGCAAATAAAAGAATACAATCAACAACAAGAAATTTGTGATTTAAAAAAAAATACAAAAAACATTAAATCTTCACCAACTTGTCCAACTCGATCGATATTCTTGAAGTGAAGCAGAAAGTCTTTAGTAAGAATAAATAAATTTAGTAACCATTTGACTTTTCTTTCTCCTCTGGCTTTGATTTATCACAATCTGATTTTGAGTTATAACCATGACTTTCTACTGATTTTGATTTAAAAACATCTAACTTGCGGTTATAATAGTCGTTCTCTTTCGATTGTGACTTGTAAGCTTCATGCTTGTGTGCATAGATGTTATCTTTTGGTTGAGGCTTCTCATCTTTTGGATTGGAAGAATGGCCATAATCTTTGGGTTGCGACTTGTAATCTTCAGACTTGGGTGCATAGCCATTATCTTTTGGTTGTGGCTTGTAAGCTTCAGGCTTAGATGCATAGCTGTTTTCTTTTGGTTGTGACTTGTCAGCTTCAGGCTTCGGAGCATAGCTGTTATCTTTGAGTTTTGGTTTGTAATCGTCAGGCTTGGGAGTGGAGTTGTTATCTTTGGGTTGTTGCTTGTCAGCTTCAGGCTTCCGAGCATAGCTGTTATCTTTGGGTTGTGGCTTCTCAGCTTCTGGTTTCGAAGCGTAGTCTTTATCTTTGGGTTGTGGCTTGGAAGCTTCAGGCTTATAGGCATAGCTATTGTCTTTTGGTTGTGGCTTGTTAGCTTCTGGTTTGGGAGCGTAGCCGTTATCTTTGGGTTGTGGCTTGTAGGCTTCAGCCTTGGGAGCGTAGTCGTTATCTTTGGTTTGTGGCTTGGAAGCTTTAGGCTTAGGGGCATAGCTGTTTTCTTTTGGTTGTGGCTTGTCAGCTTCTGGTTTGGGAGCGTACCCCTTATCCTTGGGTTGTGGCTTGTAAGCTTTAGAGTTGGGGAGTTGAGACTTGTAAGCTTCTGGCTTGGAAGCGTAGTCATTATCTTTTTGTTGTGGGTTGTAAACTTCTGGCTTAGGAACGTAGCCGTTAACCACAGATTTTGACTTGTCGATGTATGATTTGTAATCATAACCATTTTCTTTATGATCATGATCTTCATACTTCGAGTATTGATCCACCTTGTCTGATTTTTCTTCTACTTCTGGATCAGAAGTATACTTACGATCCTCCATCTTCGACTTCTCGTTATCGAATGATTTAGAAGTATAACTATAACCCATCTTGAATTTGTCTTCAGATTTGGATTCATAGTTATATTCCTGAGACTTTGGCTTGTCACCATCAGCTTTGCCGCCATAGCCATAATCACTTGCAGAGGCAAGGATTAGCAATGAGAAAAGAACCAAAGAGGTTGTGAAGAAGAAATGGGAGAGCCCCATCACTACGAAAAATATTGCAATAAGAAAGAAAATGTATTTGATTTTTGAATTGCTCTGAGAAGTAACACCAATGTCTCTTTTATAGACATCAATGGCTGATTTTCTCTTATTATTAGAAGACAATAACTTGGATGCACGTTTTGAAGAGAAACCCGAATCTCCACTGCCACTAAAATTATTAGGGATATTTAATATCATTTTCTTAATTTTTAAATTATATCCTTGGGGCATGCAATATGGAAAAAATTTATTATATAAATATATTTTTTGTAAGAAGAAAAAAAAAAAAAATCATATTTTCTTATATGCATAAGAGAATTATACTACAACAACATATGGATGAATGGTTATTATAGTCATCTAATAGTTTAGCAAGGGAATAATGTTATCCCTTATATTTTAATTTCTTTTGGGTAGTGACGTCTTAAAAAATTCTGTATTTTTATAATTTTTACATGTTCCAGTCGCATGTTAAGGCAGGGATGGAGTGGAGCCACTAGGAGCTGAGTGGGGGCTCATGCCTCCACTGACATTAGAAAATTTGGTTAATAGTCTTCTAATTCGGATTTGCGACAAAAGCTCCCTTTCTTCTATGAAAGTAGTTAAGTCTTTGTGCCATGCACCCATTTTTTCAGGTTTTGATTTTTTTATCTTCAACCTCCAATATATTTTAAGCTTTGATTTTTTTTCTTTCTTTACTCTCTTATGATTGAATATAGAGTACATCAATAGAAACAACCACCATATTTTATAATTTCAAAATTAATTTTTTTTCTTTTTTCTGAATACTAAATTCTTCATCTATTCAAAATAGAAATATCATTTGATTCTATGTTTTTATTCTATAGCCAATTGTTCATACACTTAATATCTTTAATTTTTTAATATTTCTATTCTTTCTTTTAGTTTGCCCCCACTGAAACAAAATTCTGGCTCTATCACTGTGTTAAGGCCATTGAAACAAACACAATTCAATTTAAAGTTTATATGCGAATTTTCCAGAAAGTATTATAACTTTTTAACCTATAAGATGTTCGTTTAAAGAGAGAAATTATGTTCGTTTTATAGAGACATTAATAGCGGATTTATGAAATAAAATGTAAAATATGATAACTTGTGCACACGATCTGAAGATTCTAAACAGAAATTTTGACCTCCTTCCCACAAAACTGAACGTGAATGCCTTTCTTCTTGATTCTTTCCCATGGAGATTTTTTTCGCGGGCACGATGAAATTTTAGAAGCCAATCTCCATGGACGGGTGGATTTAGGTAAATCTTTAATATTAATTCTTTATATAATATCAAATCTGATAAAAATTATTAAATAAAAGAGGGATGAGAGAGAAAATATTATGAATTGTCAAGTTTTTTTTTTTTTTTTTTTTTTTGCTTGGAAGAATAATAAACATATTTTAATTTTTAAAGAATAATTTATGCATGCATTTGGAATGTTTAATAATATAAATAATGTTACTGATAGAATTTGAGGTGGGTCTGACTCCTCACCCAATAAGGTCTTGTTGAATATGAGGATTATGTTCTCTTATAAACCAGTAGGCTTGAACGTGCCTAGTCAGTGTGAGTTTCCAACACTCCCCCTCACGGTCAAGCTCATATATTGGGTCATACCTATTGATGGAAGTAGTTGTTGGCTTTAACTCCTCACCCGCTGATCAAGCGCTCAGCTTAACTGAACCTAGACTCTGATACCATATAAGGAATCGAGGCAGAGACCAAGAGCAGGACAAAGAGAAGAAAAAAAATCTGAGTGGAAAGGCAAACGAAAGCTGTTAGCTGTGCTCTGATACCTTGATAGAATTTGAGGTGGACTTGACTTCTCACCCAATAAAGACCTTGTTGAATGGAAGGATTACCTTATCTTATAAACCAATAGGCTTGAGCGTGTCTAGTCAGTGTGAGTTTCCAATAGTTACATCTAAATAGTATCTTAAATTTTTCATAAAAAATGTAATCTTATGCAATTTGAGGAAGCATTGAAGATTGTTTTTATCTTCAAACACCATGATATCGCTATAAAGAATTTATATCTTTTACTAGATTATTCAGAAACAATCATTTTGATATTATTATTTAAAAAAAAAAAAAAAAACACGTCAGATAATTTTTCAATTACCAGATTTTGGCATTGGTAGTCAATCTCCAGTAATTGACAACTATGTGATTATAAACAAACTATAATGTTTTATAAAAAAATATATAAAAGAAATAAACTGCAAATTTTATTTAAAGTTATCACATAAATTTTATTTTTGTTATTGAATAAGCATTTGAGGTAAATTATTTCATGAACTTGTAAAAAAGTTTTCAAAGTTTTGAAAAAAGTGATGATTTTTAACCGAAAATTATTGCAAGTTTAAAAAAGCCAAACATCCAATAATACCACTCCAATTTATATTGTTAGATTAGATTATTTAGAAATAATAATTTTAATACAAATATTGTCATAAAATAGGCCCAATAATTTTCCAGTCATTGGATTATGACACTTGCAATCGATTTTCAACGAACTATAATTTTTATAATCGCCTTTTAAAATTAATAAATTGCAAGTTTCATTAATTGTTATGGTGTAAAATTTATATTTATTATTGAATAATGGTTTTTTAGGTAATCTAGGTCATGAATTTGTTAAAAATTAAAAGTGACGCTACTGCCTCCACATTTTATCTTAATAGACACTTGTTTCTCTTTTAATAATATTACTCTTACTCCAAAACTTATCTCAAAATTCATACTCCAAGTAATGTGTCGTCATATATGATACTAACATATAAATAATATGATGATATACTGAATGATATGACAATACTTATATATTGGTCATATATGATACTAACATATAAATAATGTGATGATATACTGAATGATATGACAAAACTTATATATTGACACGCCATTTGGGATGTTAAATTTGAAATTATAAATATTTGGGATGACTAGTATTACTCTTTTTTTTACTTAATTGCGATATTATCCATTTATCCTTAATAAAATTATTAAAGAGGGCATAAATTCTCTTTTATTAACTTTTAGACATTAACACTAACCTAAATTTTGCCGTTTAATTATTAACCCTAATCCTTTTTTTTTTTTTTTTTTCTCTCCCTCTCTCTTATACAAGAGAAAGAGTTTTATGAATAACACTAAGAATTAACACCTTTGGTTTTTTGGATTTTCTTCAATATTATGTTGATATGTACTTCTTAAATAACAAATTAATTATTTGCTTGATATCAATGGCCTAATATTCTTACAAAGCTCCTAAAATTTAAAGTCCCATTTGAACGTTTTCGTATTAATAAGCTAACCAACATATCCCTTGAAAGGAAGAAGCTTAATAAGTCTTATAATTTTCAAATTAGAAGTAAGAATTGTCTTCAAACTAAGAGAAAATTATTAGCAAGAAATTTATAGTTTGGGAATGAAAAAACTTAAGATTATATACAATTTACTGTGACATAAAATTTACACCCAAATGAAATGTTAATATTGACGAGATACTGATTAAAAATATATAATTGACAACGTATAAAAAATAGAGTGGAAATATAAATATCAGGGTTACATTGGAAATGGGTAGAGTTCGTTATATATATATATATATATATATATATATATACACAAATTTTTGCGAGCTAAATTTAAAAATGGCATCTACTAAATCAAAAGAGAGGTCAACAACATACTACTCAATTTCAAATATATATATATATATTTGAAAGAATATTGTATTGCAAAATGACTCTATGTGACCTTCATTACACACACTATAATATCTCTTATTGCAAATCAAAGAATACAATCAACAACATGAAATTTGTGATATTAAAAAAAAAAAAAAAAACAATTAAATATTCAACAACACATTGAAGTCGATATTATAAAGTGAAGCAGAAAATCTCCAATTAAAAAGAACAAATTTAATAACCATTTGACTTGTCTTTCTCTTCAGACTTCGATTTATCATGATCTGATTTTGAGTCATAATCATGATATTCAACTGGTTTTGATTTAAAAGTGTCCAATTTACGGCCAAAACCATTACCTTCTGGTTTGGGAGCATAGTCGTTATCTTTGGATTGTGATTTGTAAGCTTCAGGCTTGGGAGCATACTCATCATCTTTGGGTTGTGGCTTATCAGCTTCAGGCTTGGGTGCATAGTCGTTATCTTTGGGTTGTGACTTGTAAGCTTCAGGCTTGGGATCATAGTTGTTATCTTCAGATTGTCGCTTGTCAGCTTCCGGTTTGGATGCATAGCCGTTATTTTTAGCTTTTGGCTTGAGTGCATAGTTGTTATCTTTAGATTGTGGCTCGTAAGCTTCAGACTTGGGTGCATAGCTATTGTATTCGGGTTGCTCGTAAGCTTCAGACTTGGGTGCATAGTTATTGTATTCGGGTTGTGGCTTGTAAACTTCAGACTTGGGTGCATAGTTATTGTCTTCCGGTTGTGGCTTGTAAGCTTCAGGCTTGGGTTCATAGGCGTCGTCTTCAGGCTGTGGCTTGTAAGCTTCAGACTCGGGTGCATAGCTGTTGTCTTCAGGTTGTGGCTTGTAAGCTTCAGAATTCGGTGCATAATCCTTTTCTTCATATTGTGGCTTTTGAACTTCAGACTCTGGTTCATAGTTGTTATCTTTGTGTTGGGGCTTGTAAACTTCTGATTTGGAGCCGTAGACATTTTCCTTAGCCTTGTCGATATATGATTTGTAACCATAACCATTTTCTTTAGAATAATTATCCACAGGCTTCGAGGAGTGATCCACCTTATCTTTGAAGTCATTCTCCGCCTTTGACTTCTCCTTATGGAATGATTTAGAACTATAACTATACTCCATCTTGTATTTGTCTTCAGATTTCGGCTCATAGTTATATTCCTGAGACTTTGGCTCGTCACCCTCAGGGTTGCCGTCATAGCCATAATCATTTGCGGAAGCAAGGATCAGCAATGAGAAGAGAATCAAAGAGGTTGTGAAGAAGAAACGAGTGAGCCCCATGACTCTGAAAATTTGTTTTATGAGGAAAAAAAAATGAATGGATTGGTGGATTGCTCCAGGAAGTATCATCATGGCCTTTTATAGAGACATTAATGGCGGATTTATGAAATAAAATATAAAATATGATAACTTGTCCGCACGATCTGAAGATTGTGAACATAAATTTTGATCTCCTTCCCACAATACTGAATGTGAATGCGTTTATTCTTGATCGTCTCCCATGGAGATTTTTTGTGGGCACCAAGAAAGTTCAAAGCCAGTCTCCATGGACGGCAGGATCTAGCTGATTCTTTAATATTAGTTCTTTATGTATTATCAAATCTGAAAATTTTATTAAACAAAGAGGGAGGGAGAGAGAGAAAATATTAGAAATTGTTAAACGTGTATATTTTTTATTATTATTTTATTACACTTTTAGAAAACAAATTTGAAAAATAATTATATATGCATCGATTTGGAATCTTATCTTAAATATTATCCTAAATCTTATTAAAAATGTAATCTTATGTGACTTAGGAAACGATAGAAGATTGTCTAATCTTCAAACGTCATCTATATCTATATCCCTATAATAAAATAAGGAATTAATACTGGGGGAGATAGAAATATTAAAGTTGGGGGAGATAGAAATATTAAAGATGATCATTGTGATGTTAATATTGTTATCAAAATACATTGGATAATTTTTTGGTCTTTGGATCTCAATAGGCGATTTCCACCAACTAGCAACTATGGTGATAATCAAACTATAATTTTTTTATAACCAATTTTTTAAAATTTATATTTATTTTTGAATAAATGTATTTTAGGTAACTTATTTTATATATATATATATATATATTAGTTTTTTTTAGATTTTAGAAAAAGTGATGAAATCTGGTCCGTTTGATTTATAATCTAAACATAATTTTAAAATTTTAAAATATGGTTCAAATTTTTAACTTGTATTTTTAATATTTTAAAATGGGTTTAATATAATATTCAAAAACTGGTTTTTTGTCTAGTTATATGACTCGGTTGTAAAAATAACATTGTTTTAGAAAATTATGAAAACGACTTTTGGTTTTCCAAAATAACAAAATTTCATGTGTTAACTAGTTATTATAACTTGCTCTATTTTGAATTAATAAATGTTGATACAGAATTCTGCATCAACCAGCAAGATCTGATCGACCTTGTTGGGATCGGAACCGATATGAGCGTGATGAGTTATAATCAACAATGAATGTTTATGAGTGCAGTAAAGTAGAGACAAAAAGATATTTTTAAAGCGGTTCGGCGAGGTTAATAGCCTACGTCCACTATGTCTGTATTTGCTGTGAGAGCGTACAATGTAGTTTCAATCAAAAATTCGTAACCCCCTCCTCATCGTTTGAGGGGGTTTGTATCCAAGATTTGTACAAAGGAAAGAGCGAAAGTAAAGGGATTACAATTGATTTGAATCGTGATTATGATATTCCAACGATTGAGCGCTGTGATTGCGCATTGATCACTGTTGATCTGGTTATTCCCGCAATATCTGGGATCTGAAGTAATCCGGGGATTGACTAAATGATTGCTCGCATTGTTTGTGACTAGCTTATGCTAGGTCGAGCTATAGCTCAACGAGCTTATGTTGGGTGGATCAATCGTCGTTGTCGGGCTCATTCTGGGTCGAGCTATATCCTCACATTGGTCTGAGCTTGGTAAAAAAATCACACACAACATCTGCCCTCTAGTGTTCGATCCTCATTTCGGGCTTCGAAGACTATTGCTCAATTTGATGCCAAGCTCGGCTTCATCGGATTCTTTCAGGTAGCCTCTTCTTATCAAGTCCTCGATGGCGTCCTTTAGAGCTCGGCAATCATTCGTGTTGTGCCCGACATCCTTATGGTACCGTAATATTTCTGTCGATCTCTTCTTCCTAGAGCCCCCTCATCCTTTCTAGAGCGGGCAATCTCTTTGCTTCTTGGGACACTTCGTGGATATGAGCGATGTCTCTAGGGGGGGTGTATTATGCATACTGCGGGAAAGGCTACCTGTCTCCACGGCTATCTACTCTTTGTTTCTTCTGGAACTTATTGCGATCCTTGTCGTTGCAATCTTGGCCCCCACGCTTATCCGAGGGGCAATCTTGTCCCCGGTTCAAGGGCCTCCGCATCGAGCTTCTAGCCAATGCTGCCAACGAGCTCTCTACTCGCTGGTATTTTGCAGCCATCTAGTAAAATTTAGCCAAGCTCACTTAATTTTCACTCTAGAGCTCTTTCCATAGCTTTGTGTTAGGTTTGATCCCTACAATCAGCAGCAAAGTTCGAATGGATTCTTCGGGGGCATCAACGACCTTTGCCTGCTCGTTTTGGAACCTCGTTAAATATGAGGTCAGCGATTCATCTCTCCCTTGGCGAATGTTGCTCAAGTAGCTGATCAACATTGCGAACTGTCTCCTCACCTAAAATAGATGTAAGTACAACGAGGAAAATTGTTGCTAGGAGTTGATGGAGTTCGCCTTGAGCCTTTTGTACCACTTCTTGGCATCTTCGACTAATGTGATTGCGAAACATCGACATTTCACTAAGTCACTAACCTGGTGTAGTTCCATCAGGTCATTGAAATTGTTGAGGTGATCTCTAAGGTCCCCTCTCCCGTCGAATTTACTTTCTGGCACCCTAAACCCTTATGGGAGCGGGGCCTAGCGAACTTCCTCCATAAAGGGGGAATTTACTACTACATCTGCTGGGTTGTTCTGGCGAGCTCTTAGATCGTCAAACATTTTCTACATGCGATCTAAGTCTTCATTTTGGTTGCCCTAGCTAACCCTATTAAGCCTTACCTTAAGCAAATGAGTTCGCAAATCTATTGCTTGCGAAGCTGCTCCAGTGTGCGTGTTGACGCACGAGGTCGAGTCATGATGGTTGGGTTGATAGGTGTTGTCATGCTCGTTAGTGCGTTGCTCACAATGTCAGTCATGACCAAAACGTCGATCATTGTTAGATTGACGCACGTGGCTCACTTCGCGAGCTTGTGAAGATCGAGCTTGTCTTAAGCGTGGTTTATAACCAGCACACTAACATTGGGGATACCGCCAAGTTTCTTCGTGGTGCCCGCAGCCTCCGCTTTCCCTTAGTGGCTGCTTCCCCGACCACCTCCTGTGGTTTGTTTGCCCATGAGACTCATGCTCGCTTGCGGAGTGCTGCCTGCGAGGTTGGGTGCATTTATCGCCCCTTGTCGACAACGAGACGGACTTTCCACCTACAAAATTAATTCCTGTCGGGGTGGCATTAGTGAAACACGGCTAGTCGAGATTCCAAGCAACCGGTTGTTTGTTCTGCAGTTCGGCCACATTCTGTTGCACCACCTGTGCAACCATCGTCCTGATCATTTCCATCAGCTGGCCCTTTTTTGGGTTTGACGTCCCTACCCCCTGGTTGTTTGTGGTGTGCTAAGCTGGCGGCAAAGGTGGTTGGTATCTAGCGTTCTCCTGTTGCACCTCCTAGTGGGTGGTTTCTACGTTTTCACGATTTTCGGTGATAGTTTTTGATCTGGTGTACACTATTTTGGGTCTAAAATAGGCAAATTACGATGAACGTTGCCAGAATCTTTGAGATATTGGCGGAGGCCCTCTTTCTAGCGCCAAGATTTGATACAGAATTCTGCACCAACTAGCGAGATCCGATCGAGTTGGGATCGGAACCGATGTGTGCATGATTAGTCATAATCAGCAATGAATGTTTATGAGTGCAGTAAAGTAGAGACAAAAAAAGATTTTTAATGTGGTTCAGCGAGGTTAATAGCCTACATCCACTATGTCTGTATTTGCTGTGAGAGCTTACAATGTAGTTTCAATCAAAAATTCGTAACCCCCTCCTCATCGCTTGAGGGGTTTTATATACAAGATTTGTACAAAGAAAGAGCGAAATTAAAGGGATTACAATTTATTTGAATCATAATTTCGATATTCCCGCGATTAAGTGATGTAATTGCGCAGTGATCACTGTTGATCTGGTTATTCCTGCAATATCTGGGATCTGAAGTAATTCGAGGATTGATTGAATGATTGCTCGCATTGTTTGCGACTAGCTTATGTTGGGTCGAGTTATAGCTCAACGAGCTTATACTAGGTCGATTAATCGTCGTTGCCAGACTCATTTTGGGTCGAGCTATATCTCGCATTGGTCCGAGCTTGGTGGAAAAATCACACACAACAATAAATATTTATTAAATTGATCTCTTTTAGTTTATTTTAACATTAAAACCTTAACGGTATGATAATTTTGTTATTTCATAAACCTAAGAAAGATTTTATTATTAAAGCCTTAGAAGAGTTGATGCCATCAACTCCTATAAATGTAAAAAGATTAAAGAGTAATATTACATATATAAAATCTTTTACAAATAAATAAATATAACTTAACGGTAGGAGAATTTTGCCCTCTTACTGTTTATTTTAACACAGAAAAATTAAGAATAGGAGAATTTGTTATTTTATAAACCTAAAGAGCCTAAATTTCTATACAACTCTTGTAAATATAGAAAATATCAACTAAATTAAAGAAAAGGGGCTAAGACCCTACTTTTGAAACTGGCAGTGTTCCTCAACCATTAGATTAAACCTATGGGCTTTACTTAATTATCACTAAAAATAAAATCAAAATTAATTAAAAAAAAAAAAACCCAAAACCCTTAAACCCTTCTATTGCCTTCACTCTTGAGCTCTTCGTTTCTTTCTCTCTCTCTGTAATTGTTCCTGCAAATGAAGCTTGTAAGCTCGCGTACAATCCTTGAAGGCATCAATTTTCAGCTCCGTCTTGGGAATGTTTCGAGAATTTCCTCATACTCAACCGCAACTGGAAACCTCACAACAGAATGGAGAAGCTCGAGTCCGTACTCAAACTCAATGCGCGATCTGTTCCGTCGTATCTCGACGCTGGGAGATGCAACGGTCTCCATTGTTCCCCTGCTCGATCAATGGGTCCAAGAAGGGCGAACCGTAGAGAAAGAACAGCTCCAACTCTTCATCAAAGAGTTGCGATCCTTCAGACGATTCAATCATGCTCTCCAGGTATTAAAAAAATTAGTTTAATTTTTATTCTGAGGAATTGTTTAATGGGGCTTGAAGTTGTTTGAATTAAAATTTTGTTCTTGATTTGTTTAAAACATGTGTTGAATTTATTAGTTTTAAAATTCGTTATAAAGCTATCGGAAATTATGAAAATCTTCTTGAACGTCTCGTAAAATTGGTAGAGACATAATTTGATTCACTTTCTTAGAAGTGTTTATTTTCTAGATTATACGGATTTGCATGTAAGTGACCAGGCCTCGAGGTAGGTGAATGAGTAGGTTTGGTAGCTTAGTTTTGTTGATTTTGTTTGTCGAGTATATGTGAAGCCAAGCAAACTTGTTTATATTTGCATAGCTATTCAATAATTATTTTTAAAATGGAGCTGTTAAGAAAATTTTGATTCCGTTTGAAAACGGGGCATTGTCTGGGTGTGGTGGAAGATGATCTCTCAAAATATTAATATGTTGATTTTGTATTAGTAAGTTCATCCTTACAATCCATTAGTTTTGCGTTTTGAGAAAAGTTTTATGCATTTTGTTTTGTGTCAAATTCGTATGTTTCCTATTGGAAAAATAAGATATTTTTCCGAACAAATTCTGATGAAATGGGTTAAAATTTTGTATCTGCTTATGACAGGTGAATCAGTAAAATAATATATAGATTCCTTTAAGAAAAGGATAAGTGATTGGCTTGGGCTTGCTATTAAACTTCTTTGAGTTTTTGGAATGCAGATCGCTTAATCTTTCACTTATAGGCTTATTAGCTCAATTCTTATTTGTGGAACTTGCATTAGGTTGAGTTGATTATTATAACTTTTTGCCCCTTGTCTAACTTGTAATTTTATAGTTGCAATTGGTTCATGAGCTTTTTGTTGCTCTTACTTCTCCATATTTTATCAAGGAATTGATTGATTGAACTAAGATCTTTGGCCATAGATTTGGCCACTGGTCGTGTGCCATTACAGCAACTTCCGGCCACCTCCGATAGTGGTGGCCGGCTGCCGGCATTTAATGGGCGGGTGGCGGTGTTTTTTTTTTTAATTTTCAATGTTTTATTGTAAGGGGTGTATAGCTAAATTAATAAACCTAGGGGGTGTTTTTGTTAATTTTCAAATCTTATCCTCGTAATGACAACCAAACTCAACTTTTTCAAAAATACTACTCAAAATACTCTACCAAACACACCCTAAGATATTTTTCCAAACAAATTTTGATGAAGTGGGTTCAAATTTTGTATCCGCTTATGACAAGTGAAGCAGTAAAATAATATATAGATTCCTTTAAGAAAATGAAATGTGATTGGATTTGGCTTGCTATTAAACTTCTTCGAGTTTTTGGAGCATAGATCGCTTAATCTTTCACTTATAGGCTTATTAGCTCAATTCTTATTTTTGGAATTTGCATTACGTTCAGTTGATTATTATATCTTTTTGCCCCTTGTCTAACTTGTAATTTTATAGTTGCAATTGGTTCATGAGCTTCTTGTTGCTCTTAGTTCTCCATATTTTATCAAGGAATTCATTGATTGAGCTACTACAAGTCAACGACTGTGTTTTCACCCTGAATTTTCTTGAATAGACTGATATAATCACATTTTACTATTCTGTGTTTAGAGTTTAAGGGATCATAAAAATTTTGACCTACTATATATAATTGGACCTGAGTTGTAGTTGTGATGTTGATTTTGAAATTATTTGTAAAGATGCTTAGCCTTTATATGATTACTTCATTTTAGTCATTTCATTGTTTTAGTGTCTCACTAAGATATTTCTTTGTCTCTCTACACCAGATATCTATGTGGATGACTGACAAAAGATACATTCCACTTAACGCCGATGATGTTGCCGTTCGGCTGGATTTGATCTCTCAAGTTCATGGGGTAGAACGAGCAGGAAACTATTTCAATAATGTTTCAAAACAATTAAGGAGATTTCCTGTTTATTCTGCTCTTCTCAAATGCTATGCCAATGCAAAATCTGTGGAAAAAGCAGAGGCCACCATGCAGGAAATGAGTGATTTGGGATTTTTTATAAGAACACCACTGCTTTACAATTCTATGCTTAATCTTTATTATAAGACTGGAAATTTTGAGAAATTTGACAGTCTGATACATGAAATGGAAGAAAAAGGCATCAGTTATAACAAAATGACATTTTGCATCCGTCTAAATGCCTATGCAGCTGCTTCTGATGTTGAGGGAATTGACAAGATTGTAAACATGATGGAATTCTATCCCACTGTTCTCTTAGACTGGGAATTATATGCTACTGCAGCTAGTGGGTATGCAAAAGCTGGGTTTTTGGACAAGTCTTTGCAAATGCTGAAGAAATCTGAGGGACTAATACCAGGTGAAAGTAAAGCATACGAAATTCTTATAAAACAGTATGCAACAACTGGGCGGAAAGATGAAGTTTTAAGACTTTGGGAACTCTACAAGAAGAATGTTACTGTTTACAATAGTGGCTATAAATCTGTCATGTCTTCTCTGTTGAAATTTGATGACCTGGAGAGCGCCGAGAAGATTTTTGAGGAATGGGAATCTCAGAGTCTATCCTATGTTTTCCGGATTCCAAACTTGTTGATTGGTTGTTACTGTAGAAAAGGCCTTTTGCAGAAGGCTGAATCTCTTTTAGGCAAGGCAATATTGATGGGGGAGAAGCCGGATTGGAAGACATGGTTTTATATGGCAACAGGATATCTTAAGAATAATCAAACTCTAGTGGCAGTGGAGGCGATGAAGGAAGCGTTGGTGGTTTGTTGAAACAAGTGGAAGCCAAGTAAGGAATGCTTGGCGGACTCTTTGAACATCTTAAAAGATGGAGTCGAAGACATAGAGGGAGTCGAGAAATTTATAAATTTGCTCAGGAAAAAGAATATTATCTCCGAGGATCTCCAAGAAAAATGGTTGAATAATGTCCAGAATGGGAAGTTTAACTTCGATGCACTCGGTAAGTTTTATGGTGATGCTTTGATTGATGATGCAGAAGCACTTTCAGCGCTCGAGGTCGATAACGATGATTCAGTAAAAGAACAGGAAACGTGTTGAATACGAATTTGAAAAAAAAAAAAAATCAACTTTCTGGAACCTAATGCTCCATACAGAAGTAGTATATTATGCTGACAGTAGTTATCTTCCGCCATGGAGAATGTATTTCATGCCCAGTTTCCCTAAGAGGAAAAGGCAATCCTTTCATTCAAATTCTGAAATCTTAGGGGTGTAAATGTGATTCTGTAAACCTCCAAGAGATAAGTGTTTTAANAAACAAGTGGAAGCCAAGTAAGGAATGCTTGGCGGACTCTTTGAACATCTTAAAAGATGGAGTCGAAGACATAGAGGGAGTCGAGAAATTTATAAATTTGCTCAAGAAAAAGAATATTATCTCTGAGGATCTCGAAGAAAAATGGTTGAATAATGTCCAGAATGGGAAGTTTAACTTCGATGCACTCAGTAAGTTTTATGCTGATGCTTTGATTGATGATGCAGAAGCCCTTTCAGCGCTCGAGGTTGATAACGATGACTCAGTAAAAGAACAGGAAACGTGTTGAATACGAATTTGAAAAAAAAAAAAAAAATTGGAAATGAGGTTCTTTCCTTAATCAAATCAAGGTGCTCATATTAATTCATATTAGGGCCAATTTGATAATATTTATGAACTCTTCGTTACTTCATAGCGACTCACAAAATTGTACTTAAAGGATCGGAAGATTTTTGTTATTTTATAAACTACAAGAAAATTTTGTATTTTGTCATACTTCAGGGTTCAGTTCAGCCCAATTTCAACATGTAAGGGGCGGGTCATAATTGGTATGTATTGAATCAAAATTGAGTGTAAATTTTAAATTTTTAATGACTCATTAATAGTGGTGGTCAAAACTTTTGTTATTTTAGAAACTACTGGAGAATTTAGTAATCTAACCAACACACACCCTGTTTTTTCACTCCAATTGTCTTCTTCCTATTGCTCTGGTGGTGCAGCCGCCGGGGGGCGTCGTCTTTGATTCCTCCTCATTTGACCATTTTGGTCCGATAAAAATCATAGATCAACCTATAGCCGAGTCAAAAACCGAGTGAAAACCAAGGGCGAAGGCCCCCAGCCCCTCCTCCCTCCACAAAGCTCCCTTCTTTTTCCTCTTTCCTCTTCACCGTTAAATCAGGTAGTGTCGGACGCGGCTGAGGCCATGTGACTCCCGGGTCTGAATCTAGTCAAACCACAGACTCTCGCAAACCGTTAAGATTAAACACTGGGACAGAGTCGTCCACTGAGTCGACTCAGCCGATTGAACCCAACCTCCCAGGGTGGGGCATGGAAAGCCATGTTTACAACCTTCGCCGACGCCACCTCCAAAAAGTGGAGGAAGAACATAGGCAAATTCGGGCGGGCCTGAACCGGGCGCAATAGTGCCCGATCTGAACCGGAACCTGCCCGACCCATGTTGAACGGGGAAGAGGCTATTAAACAGGCATTGAGGATTTTATCGCAGGGTGGTGGAGGTGAAAGAGAAGGGATTAGTAGCACCAAAGCGGGGCTAAGGCGAGTATGGGGCCAAATAAGAGAGAGAGGAAAAGGGAGAGGATGTTTAGAAGGGAAATGGAGGATTTGGTGCAGGTTGTATTTTGGAGACAATACGATGAGGACAAAAGAGTTGAGAATAACAAAGCAGTAGTAGAATTTTACCCTCGTAGTGATTCTTTTAGAGTAAACGGCTTTTTTTCCACCAAAATAATGGTTTAGCGGCGCTTTCCAACCCACATATTTTTTACATACTATTTTATTACCCCAATTTATTTTTTATTTTCGATTCCAGTATCATTACAATCTCTCACTATCATTCTCTTTTTCGATCATTATTTACCAAAACTCTTCAATCCCTACTCTCTTTAACCCCACTAATCGCTAGCAATCAAGCAATTAGGGTTTATGCAGCCGTCCTTCTCAACTCAAATTTCGATCAATCTCATCTATAAAAATCCAACATTCTACCACCAAAAGATTTATTGGTCTCCCCTTTTCAAAAGCTTCAATGGCCTAGACCGAGTTTGCCTTCTATTTACTGTCGGAATATAAATTTAGATAATAAAATAGAATTTTAAAAGTCTGTAGGTGGTAAAGTGTCATTAAGCTATTATTTGGATGGAAAAAAGTAGTTAACTCATTCTTTTAACACCTAAAATATTTTGTTATTTTAGACACCTAAAGAGCCTAAATTTTATATAACTCTTGTAAATGTAGAAAATATAAACTAAATTAAAGAAAAGCGGGTAACATCCTATTTTTGAAACTAGCAGTTTTCCTCAACAATTAGATTAAACCTATAGGCTTTACTGTAATTATACCCAATAACAAAAACAAAAACAAAATAACCCAAAACCCTTAAAGGCTTCCACTGTCTTCACTCTTGAGCTCTTCATTTCTTTCTCTTTCTTTGTATTTTTTTCCTGCAAATGAAGCTTGTAAGCTCGTGTATAATCCTTTAAAGCATCAAATTTCAGCTCCGTCTTGGAAATGATTGGAGAATTTCCTCATACTCAACCGCAACACAAAACCTCATAGCAGAATGGAGAAGCTTGAACCCGTACTCAAACTCAATGCTCGATCTGTTCCGACGTATCACGTCGTTGGGAGATCCAACGGTCTCCATTGTTCCCCTACTCGATCAATGGGTCCAAGGGGGACGAACAATAGAGAAAGAACAACTCCAACCCTTCATGAAAGAGTTGCGATTCTTTAGACGATTCATCAAAGAACATTAGAGGTATTAACAACTTAATTAAATTTTAAATTATTTAATTTTTATTTTTAGGAATTATTTCGTGCCTTGTTGTACTTATATTTAAAATTCATAACAAAATTTGAAATTTTATTTTCTCCAATTTTTTATGGTTTGATATAATATTAAAAATTTGTTTTCAGATTAAAAATTATAGAACATCATGGAAACTACTTTTGGCCGTTTTCTAATAATTACAATAGTTTTTAGGATTGTATCAGAAAACTATTTTAGAAAACATTTCGACTTATTTTTACTAAACTTATCTTCATAAAATTGTTCTATATTTCTTGTTTTAATATGTATAAAAATAATGAAAATAAATTCTAGATCTAACAGACTTTTGTCAAAATATATTATAACTTGAAATAAGTATTAACTCACTATAGAAAAAAAAGGGCATATTTGATATATTATTTAAATACAGTTTTTTGTTTTTGAAAACAAAGGATACAACAAATCTTATGAAAATGCATTTGATAAAAATGAATTGAATTGTTTCTGAAAACATTTTCTAAATACAATCTTAAAAAATAGTGTAAAATTAGAAAACGATTTAAATTCGTTATCACAATTTTTTGTAGTTACTAATCTGAAAACATTTTTTTGGATATTATAACACATTTTCAAAGATAAAAAATACAACTCAAAAACTTGAACGATATTAGTTTTTGAAAATTATGTTTAATCACAAATCAAACGGACATGTATTGAGATTTCAAATTAAGTGACCAAAATATACACATTGTAAGTTTCCTCTCCTAAAAAAATATTAGGGGCGTGAATAGCAATTCCTAAACTACTGAGGACTTTTCAAACATTTTATAAAACAATCACGAACTTAAAACCCATAAAGGGTCAAAACCCTTAAACTTAAACCCTACGTGAGCAACATCCTCTTCAACTTCACCTTCACATTTCACTCTCTGATTCTCCAAAATTGTTAGAGCATACGAAGCTTTTACCGTTGTATGCTTGCATGCAATTATTGAAAACATTAGCTCTCACTCTGTCATCGAAATGTTTCGAGCATATCTCTTCATACATGATAGCTATTGGAAACCTAAGACCGAAGTGGAGATGTCGAATTTCAAACTCAATGATTGCTCTGTTCCATCAGATCTCGCCTTTTCCGATGTTGAATTAGTGGGTCCAAGAAGGATGATCTGTAGACAAATTACAGCTCCAAGACTTTATCAAACGATTGCAGCCCTTTAAACGATATGATCCTTTAAAGAGCCTAAACTTTATATAACTCCTGTAATTATAGCAAATATCAACTAAATTAAAGAAAAGGGGCTAACATCCTATTTTTAAAACTAGTAGTGTTCCTCAACAATTAGATTAAACCTATGGGCTTTATTGTAATTATTTGTAAAAATAAAATTAAAATAACTTAAAAAAAAAAAGTGAAAAACCACAAAAACCCTTAAGGCTTAAACCCTTCTATTGTCTTCACTCTTGATTAGACCTAGCAAAACGGGTGGGTGGGCCGGGTATGGGTTGGGTATGAGCTGGGTCAAACAGGTACGTGCCCTTATATGGGTCGAGATATACGGGTTCAAAATATTGGACCCATGCCCTACCCCATACGGGTATGGGTGGACCCGCGGGTGGACCCATTTTTTCTCTCTCCATATTTTAGTTTTTTTCACCCCTAATAGTTTTCAGTTATGATAGTTACACCCCCAAAATTTCTACAATTTTAATTTTTTACATTTATACCCCCTAAATCAACTACTCTAAATTCAATTCAATTTAGAATATAAACAAATAGGAACCAAAATAAACAAATAACACATAAACAAATAATAACGTATAATACAAAACTACAAATACCAACAAAAATAAACAAATACATATCCAATATTCAACAAAAAAACATTCTTAGGACAGCAAATGTTCATCCCACAATGGGCGTGATAGAGTCTCTTGATTCCACAGTCTCGAGATTAGTTAATGACACATCAAGATCATCATCCAAATTATCATTCACCTCATCATTTACAAAATAATGATCAATTACAAATAATAAATGTAAATAATAAAATATATGAAATATTATGTAAACATGTTACTTTCAAACTCATATCCATGTAGCCAAGTTCGAGTGCATATCAAAGATTCTACATTTTTTGGTCAAAGTGAGCTTCGATATTGTCTTAGCCTGTTAAAGAAGATCTAGATAGTTCTAAGTCAAACTAGTTTGTAGTTAGTATAGCATAATATACTCTGATGCAATGGCAATCTGTGAAATAGTTTAAGCTTCAATAAGTAATACCATCTATAACTGGCAGTTTGTTTACTACCAAAAGCAACACTGCCCCCTTATGCAAATGAGCTAAAAGACCTTTTAAGGTTGATGTATAAATTGACCAAGAATAATGAAATTCACTGTCCTAATTATCGTGCATGAGAAGCATCAATCCTGCTCTGCCCCGACAGCTATTGGTTAATCAACAGCCACTTCTTTCCTTGAACCATTGGTTCTGACTCACAAATGAACCATTTAACCATCTACTTGATCATAGATTATTCGAAGTGAAAGAGATGACATTCACTTACCTCTGGGTAATAATTGCTATCAATCCTTTGAATTTCCATAAAGAGCTGTCTTGCAGGCTTTGAGAAATTAGATATTCCCTAGGTCAAGATAGTACTTAAATTTAGAATTTACTACAAAAAGAAGTTCTATATAAAATAAATTTATAGCTAATTTACTCTATGAACCAATTTAGTCTTACAGAGCATGAATCAATCAAAACTAAAGACAAATGAAGCACTTCTACTATCAAGTCTTTAGAGAGGAGGTAAACAGATACTTTTAGCTTGAAGCCTTGAATCACCGCTAGAAAATAAGCCAAAGAACTTAAAGAATCACATCTCTGCTCCTAGATTTAAAAATACAGATTTCAAGTTGATGGATCAATCTTAACTTGGAGTTGAGTAATGTGATGATAAGTCATTAGTCACAACTTCAGACCCTAGAAGGCATATTTTTCATAAATCTAAAGTTGGAGCCCAAGGGGCAACTCTCAGGAATTATTTGTGGTAACAGACACAGTGCATATAGTTGTATAGGGTGTGTGATTATGGATATATTTCGTTCTCTGGGAATGAATTCAGTTCCACAAGGCATAGTGTAAAAGAAATGCTATAAGTGAAACTGCACTATTATCTTTGCTACAAGCCTACTGATTATTTTTGAATGAAAAGAATCAAAACAACATGATTCTCCATGAAAAGAGTTTGAAAGATGAAAAAGATGTAAATTGAAACTCACCACTTCCTTCACATCTAATATACTTGTGGTTGATGCTATATGCCTCTTGGCTGCAATTGAACATGCAGGATATCTCAAATTCAATGTTTTCTCTTTTTCAGACACATGATACTTAACAAATCTTTCAATTGTGGTTACTTGAAGCAAGGCATTTAGATCTACCATCCCAATCTGTTCAATGTATATTGGTCTACCAAATTTATCAACTCCATGAAATCCATGAGGATAGCATTGCTTGACCTCCTTAAACTCCTCAAACGTAAATTCCTGCAGAATGTTCAAAACAAATGTATCATGCAAAAGAATACAGTAAACAGGTCCATGATTTCTCAGATGAAGTTCAAGAGGACACAGTAAGGCACACATAAAATAAATGTATTTATGATGGTCAGTATATATGGCTTCAGATTATTCTAGAAAAGAAAATGGTGATTTTGACGCCGCTAAAAGGGGAATCCCAAATATCAACACGGAGCCACTTTTCAGAGAATTTGAAGAAAACGAAAAGTTGTTATCGATAAGCACTGGTAATTATCATACTCCAAGCATTTTTTTAAACCCCATTTGGTACATATATAGACCAAATATGAATTCTGAACACAGCTTCATAATAGTAGTAAATTCATTTCAACGGTATTAACATAGTTCCAACTTCATGATACGAGCCTAGAATTCACCTTGGAAATTGAATCAACTCTAAAATCCTGGCGCCACTTGAGATAATTCAAGAACATCTCTCTTGATTTTGTAACATCAAAATCCCTCATTCGTAGAAATCTGAAACCACAGAAAAGTACTATTTTGTTATAAAGCCACCAAAAGCAACTAAATTTTGTAACTAAGAATTCAATTAAGAAATGAAAACTTTCCATATATCTCATAACTATAATCGACCTTACCGCAAAAGTGTATGATAGTCATTGTGCTTTGTTGTTAACTGGCCCTCAAGAAAGAGCAATTCGCGGAAAGAATTAACAATTTCTTCATCTTTTGGATCAGGAGTTCCTTGAAGGAGATTTTTCATGCTTTTGCTCCTCCCAATTCTCTTCAACGACTCTCGAACCTTCTTCGGATAATTTAGCAGTGTCTTGATGCCTGTCCTTGTTGATACACGATCCTTGTCTTGTTTTTCAGCAGGGAGAACCCAATGAGACTCAAGGGGTGGATGTATAGATTTAGTTTTCCCCCCAATATTTTTCTTTGGAGCTGGTTCCTCGCCTTCTTCACTGCCCCTATGAATAATTATCTCCCTATCGTAATTCATATGTACTCAACTTAACTCTACTCAACAAAAGATTTAACAACCCTTAATTGCAGTAAGCAAAAAAAGTATCAAATGAAAATTCTAAAAATATGACAGTAATGTTTATATTCCTCTAATAGCATAATCTTTACAATCATCAAATTTTCTGCCGCCTCCCTTAAGCTGTCAAACAAAAAGAGGAATAAATCCGAACGAAGTTTCTGCACAGTTTATGAAAAAGTTTCAGATAAACAGAAAATGAAAAAGTATCGATCTTGAGATAAATTGGCCAATCTTAAGCAAGTCAATCCGATGAATTGACTCGCAAGAAAATAATGTGAAAAGAATGAAGCAAAGGTGAAGAATCGAATTTTAGAATAGATTTGATTCTTGGAAATGTTGAATCAACGGGTAACAAGAAACTCTGAAAAGATAAAAAAGAAAAAGAAAAGTGAGTATGCAAACTCCATAGACGCAACAACAGAAATGGTGGATTCAAAAGGAAGCTGTTAGTGTAGGAGTTTGAAGAGGAATTAAGGAATCAGGTTTTCTCTCGTGGCGGGAAAAGGGCGGGCCCAAGCGCTAACTGTCAACTCTGTTATTCTTTGTGTTTAATATTTGAACATATTTTTTAAGAAATAATTCTCTTTGAAATTTAAAAAATAAAATGAAGGGATGTGGTTGGGCTGTGTAAAGAATGGGAGAAAGCTTTTATGGGCCAATTTGCTAATTAGAAGTTGGGGTGGCCATCTATAACATGAAAGCCAGAATATTGTTTAGTTAATATCAACTTCATCTGATTTTTTGAATAAAATATGGTCAAAGATCACAATTCACGAACCTATAAAATCTTTCTTCCTCCAAGATGTGATTGTATTTACCATCTCTTCCTCGATCGAAAATCGAGTCATAGGATAAATAATGTATTTAGTATTTATTTAAAAGTATCAGACCATATCTTCGGTGTTTTAGAAAAGTACGTTTTGGTTTATGGAGATGATTGTTGTCTATGAATGAAGTATTTTATTGTTTTTCTTCACAGGAAGATGATTCTTGGGGCTATAATTTTCATTTAAATGAACATATCATCTTATATCCATCCAACTAAACAAAAAATGGACACAACGGACTTTTGGTTGGAGTTCTAATATAAGAACAAGTGATTCGTTTTCTGTTCATCGCAGGAACAGAAAAATGAAAGAACCATTTGTCTTTTTTCTTTTGTTTGTGAGGGAAATTAGACTGGTTTCCAGTTGCCACATAAGAACGGGAACAGTAATGTGTTATGGCCCAAAAAGGACACGAGTAACTGAATGTAATACGTAGTGTAGAAGATAGACTAGGACATATCAGGGGAAAGATAAAAGTATGGCTCAGGATATGGTTATGGCAAAGTGCATGAAGCAAATGGGAAAAAAAAAATTAATGTATAGTAAAGAACTTCTTTGAAAATTTTAAATATTATGTTTTTAATTTTATTGAAAATATGTATGTTAATAATTCTTGCTTTTAATCATTTTAGGGTTACATATACATGTATTGTTGGGGATAAAATGAGTCTAGCCCAAACTAGTGAAACCCTACACTGAGACCCTTTATAAATGGATCTGAGAATATCTTAATGAAGCTCAGCATCGAAACCCTACGACAGACACTAAATCGGTGTTTGGTTTTTCATATCTCTTTGTAGGAATTCGTTATTGTTAATGGCTCAATATCTCAATGATAATTTCAAGTAGATGTTATCATCTACAAATACCACTTCCATCTAATCTAATTTTTTTAATCAATCAACCACCATTCAATCAATTCCAATCAATAGTCAAAACAAACACAAACGGCAGATGATCAATTATATATCATTTTAAACATGGGTTAAAATCCTATTACTAACTTACCATGGTAAAGTCATTATAACAAACTTAGGTATAGTTTAAAAGCACGTTTAATTATTGGGGATAATGGTCCCAAGAGAAATATCATATATAATAATTTATTTATTTTTTAATTGTGTCGGAAAGCATAAAGTGGAACCCACACGTGTTGAATGGGGCCCACAAGAATAAACTTGGAGACGAATCTTAAAGCACACGTATGGCGACAGCTGGCTGTATCCACACTGACAGACACCAAATCAGCTCTTCGGAAAAACGAACCAGTTGACGTCATCTCCTAACCTAAAACTTCTTGACAGCGTCTTCGTCTTTTTCGCCACGTGTACATGTGGACCCCCACACTTCACTCTTCTCAATTTGATTACTTGGCTAGTCAAGCCAATAATAGAGTTGAAGAATACTTTTTTTTTATTAATAAAAAAGTTATATAACTAATTAATAAAAAAAAAAAGAGTAATAAATGTTTTTTTTAATTAATAAAAAAGGTTTAATAGATATTTGTTAATTAAGAATTACTCCTTTCATGAAGCCTCTCTTAATTATATTAAACCTCACCAAACAAAACATTAATATAATAGCTAAACTTAATGAAGTTATGTAGGTGAATTAGAGAATTTACTTTAAAAATGATTTTTTTATTTTTTTATTAAAATGGCACTCAGAAAAGAAATAATTAGAAATCCCCCAACCAAAACAATAATAGAGGTAGCTAAAAACAAGAGGGCTTTTGCATTGCATCGTTTAGGTGAAGCAAAACTACTTTCCGTTCCGCCTCTATCGAACGATGCTTCCAAAATCGCTGACAAAAGCTCTTTCTATCATCACACGTTTATTGTATTAAAATCCTTGCTATCACCACCCTCTAAAGTTTAAACAGCTATCCAAATAACCCTATAATTATTAGAAATCATCCCTCATACCTATCCATATTCCATAAAATCATCACATACCTTCTCTCATTACACGGACGTAGCCAGCAAATCTGTGAGGAGAGCCAAGAAACGAACTAAATTAAATAAAACCAATTTATCAAAAATAAAAATAATAAAATTACGAGTAAGAAAAGTAATTTATAGAGTACCTAACCTACTTTAGAACTTTGATTCGTTTTTCTTAAGTAAAATTATCAAGCCTTTCTATATTGAAAATTTAGTTTATAAGAACGCACATTTAGTTATTATATAAAATTTAAAATCTCTTAAGTAAAATAAAGTAGTATAATCAATAATTTAAGTAAACTAGAAAGTAATCAAGAAAATAAACTAGGTCTGTTTGATACATTATTTGAAATATGATATTCAAAATAATTATTCTAAATAAGATAGGATAAAATTAAATCAAATAGGGTAGGATTCTGAGAATGTGTTTGTTACATTTTGAAATACATTTTCTGAAAATATTTATATTGTTTTTAACCATTTACATTTGTTAATTTAGCTAATACCCTCCAACAATAAAAGTTTATAAATTAACAAAAACACCCTCACCCACTCAACCGACTGTCAACAGTCGGCGACCACTGGGCGGTGGTGAGAAGTCACCGGAATGACGCACAACCAGCTGTATCTGACCGGTCATACGTTGATCTGGTCGAAAACTACTAGATCTACGACAAAAATTTGACAGTCAATTTCTAGCCATTATTAATGGCCAAAATATGGTTGTCGTCAACGATCAAATAGATCTATCTGGCTGTCATTAAAGGCCAAAGTCTAGTCGTCAACGACAGATAAATCTCTGGCTGTAGATCTAGCCATTTCCAGTAAGATCAATGAACAATCAGCCAGATCTGATCGATCTTGTATCGTTTTAGTGGTTGCTAGCAGTCGACAATAGCTTGAGTGGATGGGAGTGCTACTGTTAATTTATAAACTTTTATTGTGAAAGGTAATTGTATGTTTTAATTTAAAAAAAAAAGATTAAATTTTGAATTTAAAAATGTGAATATTAAAATAAATATGTATTTTTACTGTTTAAATTAAATAAGATAGTAGAATAGTGTTTTAAAAAGAGTACCAAACAGGGGGAATAATTTTGTCAAATATGATGATGATTTTTCATTCTTTGTGGATTTTGTTAGAAAATTGAGGGTTTAAAAAACTAGAACGTTTAATACACGCATGCTGAGTTGAAGCACCAGCACATCAGTGATTAGGTAGATAGGGTCTACCTAAGGTGAACAGCTGGTTTGCATTGCAAGAGTGAGTCAGCCCGCCCAGCTCTGAGACTGACTCACTTTGGATTGTGTACATATATCTCCGCCCAATGCATCCCATTGGATGACAACAAAAAGTGAAAAAGACTATAATTATTTTTGTTTTTTTGTTGTGATTTGACGGTCATCAGTCATCACATCACTTTAATCCACATTAATTTTGTCATTCATTACTTCACAATTAAAACCCGCCTCCTAGTAGATGTGACAAAAAGTGTTGGTTCTGAACACTAAACAAAGAACAAGATTATATTTAAGGGATCGGATCAATTTGTTAAGTAATATCACTTTCTGGGTTCACGGCATATGACCCTCTATTTGCACAGAAATTTAAAACCTGATTCAGTAAATCGCGTCTCCAATCAACAATACAAAATTAAAATTACATTGGACGAAGAATCAGCTACGTACATGAATTTGAATAGTAATTAACTATGTATGAGGTCCCAGAAAGGATAAAGGATTCTTTCTGGGCCCTATATCCAACAGAACCTCATCATGGACAAATGGGAAATAATCCCCAATACAAAAATTTAAAATCTGTCTTTTAAGTTTTGCTTTGGTTACTATTTACTATCAGTAGAAAATTTATTCAAAAGAATCACAATATTTTACAATAGAATGTAAACATAGAAGCAGAACCATTGCCCACACTTCATTTTTTGCTTTAAATATCCACCTTATATTATACAGTATATGCAAGGCAAAGTGACATTATAGACATTTATATATACATCTTTTGTGGAGTTTTTATTTTTAAAGCAAAAAATGAAGTGCTCACTGAAACCAAACCATGAACTTACCACAAGTCAAAAACCAAAATGCAAATGCCCTGCGTATCTTAGTTTTTGTTCAAGTTTTCCCACAAAGATGCGCACTTCCTTCTAGCAAACCCAACCTTTCTCTTCTCC